GGCGTGCCTTTCCCTCTGGGCTGAAGAAGTCATTGCCAAAGGTGAGGTCGAAAGGGGCCTGCACTTCGATTCCGACACGCGCCACTTCCTTCGTCAGTCGGGCAGTGCCGGCAAACCGCTCCCCAAAGCGGGGGCAGGGGAAGTGCTTGCGCCGGCAGGCCCCCGCCCGGTTCCATATACATTCCAGGCTGCACAGGGCCACACCGCAGTCCGCCGGGCACGGGTATCGCCCTTCCTGATCAAAGCTTCCATCGCACTGGTAACATGACCTCCCGTCATCTTCTGTCCTCTGGGGTTCCTTCTTGAACTCCCGTGAGATGGCACCACCTCCTCCGGTGGGTGAAGCATCTGTGATCGTCACCTCATCATCCAGGGCGGTTCTCAGGTTCATTGCCATGACGGGCACCAGTGCCATAACCGACAGTACCTCATCGCGGGCATTGGAGTCAATTGTATGGGCCCCGACTGAGCCCGAATCACATCATGGAAGACGGCTTCCAGTAAGGACATCATGGGCCTTCTAAAACTCATCCCAAAGATTGCCTTCCCTGCCCAGTGCCTCAGCTCAAACTCCGTGACCTCCTCGGCCACCAACAAGGCCGCTAACAAGGCCGCTGAAAGACCAATGAGCTGAGCCTGCTTGTCTGCGGCCAACCTGAACACTCCTTCTCGTCCATCAATCTCCCCTCCTTGGAGCGCTCCCTCAGTGGCCGCAACGACCCTCTTCCCTTCATTTAAGGGCAGGCAGCCTTCGCAGGTTTGTTTGAAGGCTTTGTGGTGCTCCGACATCTCGCCTTCCAGCACAGCACGGCATCCTCTACTGACCTTCCTATGACACTGATCTGGCTTCCAGCTGGGAAGTCGGCCGTCTTGCGCACCTCAATCTCTGATGGGACCTTGGTGAGGGTGAAAACTGGGTCAGAGAGACCGCCGATAGCCACCCCATGGGGATCACCCTCATTGCTGGATACATCTCCTCCCCTGGAGAGTAACCAAACACCGAAGAGTCCACTGCCTTTCCAAAGGCTGTAAAGGCTGCCCACTCCCTTGGCAGCTCAAAGAGGTTGAAACAGCTCGTGAGGTCCTCACTGTCCACCAACAGCTCCTCAGTCTGGTCCAGGTTGAACATGGCCAGCTGACCGAGGTATGGCAGGTGAACGTCGTCACCCGGCAAATGCTTCTGGTACAATTGGCTGGGATCAGGTTGCTGATGAAACGCTGCAGTTTCACTGTCTGCCCTTGCACAACCTTGTATTTTGTGACGGCCATGGCGCCGTTGAACACAGGCTGACCCTTGTGATCGTGGAACACCTCTGACCTTCGGAGGCCTGTCATCATCTTGCGCTCCACCCCGGCCATGCATATCTTTGTCCATTCTTCACTCGTCGCTCTGACCTTTGCCTTTGGGGGCTTGTCAGGCCACTGGTCCTTGGGTAGCAGCAATGATAGCTGCGGCTGCCTCAACAACTCCCGCATAGCCTCCGGGATGAAGTCTTCTGCACGTTGGACAGCGGCCTCTCCCGGACGAGGCCAGCATGGGACCACTTTGTCCGCATGGAGCTCCTCCATCAAGCACAGCGGCTCGCCAGCATAGTCAAAACGGCTTTCTCGCAGCCGCTCTTTCAACGAAGGCAAGGGGGGCACTTGCTGACCAGTGCCCACAAAGCGTAACACAGAGCGGCGCAGGCAGAAGAGCGCCTCCTTTTGTGCCTCATTGTACTTGTGCTCCAGAGGGGTGGGAAGTGTACCCCCATACATCGAATTCAGCACCACCACCATCAACTTGAGCCAGTTTCGAATTCCTTCAGGTTCATCTCCACAAAGCTCCTCCACCAACCACGAAGGAATGGGGAGGACGTCCCTTGGCGTCGTCGCCCCGGGTGAATCTTGTCGCCTCAGCTGCTGTTGTTCCAGGGCATCGGCCATCCACGCGCTCAAGGCTGAGCCCTCACTTTGCAGATGGTATGCGGCCAAGTGCGCCACCAGTGTGGGGTCGGAGGCCTCCTGCATGACCTGCTGATAGGCTTCCCGCAAGGAAGGCGGAGGCCAACCTGCCTCCTTCTCCGCCTCACTTGGCGGGTGACTCACTTCTTGCCCTCTTCTCCGGGCTTCGCCAGGTAAGGCTTTGCCCTGGGATCCTTCCCTCCTCCCTTCCCTTTCTGGGAGCGATCGGCCTTCCCGTCGCCTTTCGGGGGTCTTGGAGGGAAGGTGGGCTTGTCGCAGGCCTTCGCTTTGCGGTCCAAGATGAACTCGTTGCCAAGGTACATCTCCTCATCCCTCTCGTTCGAGGAACTGAGCGCTGTTCCAGTGGCCTTCTTGCGAGGCCCGATCCAGCGCTTTGATGCGCTGTCCCAGCAGGTCGGCGCACTGACCTGTCTCCCCCTTGGCTAACAAGTCCAATCAAGGTCCTCAGTTCTCTTTGAGTCCTCAGTGATGCCTTCTGACCGAGGGCTGGGATCAGGACCGTGAGCAGGAAGTGGCTCGCCAGAGGGGGCGTTGATGAGTCCTCGTTGTGCGCCCCCACAAGATCCCTGGCTGACGCCTCCCTCATTTTGATGAGAAGACGTGACGCCAGTCGTCCTGGAAACTTTTGGCTGTAACGGCTCAACTTCTGCTGGCCGCTTTGCGTCGTGGACCTTGTGGGGGCTTCTCGAAAAATTGAATCTGAATCAGACTCGGACTCTAGATCTCGCTTTTTGTAGTAAAGCGGCGGCCCTCCACCAAATGGGCCTCTATCCATGCCAAGCTTGTGGTCTCCCGATTTACCTGGCTTTGCGCTTTGAAAAAGCTCCTCATCACTGACTGGGTCAGGTGATCCAGACCTGGGAGACTCCTCACTCCCTGACCGTCTGCGCTTCTTGTCCTTCTTTGGATCAGCAGAGGCTGCTCGGCGTCTCTTCTTCTCCTTGGCAGCCTTCCTGTCAGCCTTCACCTCTGCATGAGGAGGGTGACCGCTGATGCTTTTCCCGTCTCTTGACCGGAAGTGGCCTTCTTGCGCTCCTTCTTGGACAGCTTGCGCTTGGCCACCTCTAGCTCGGCCTTGAGGCGCTTCAGCCTTTTCCGGGCCTCAGAGCCCTCTTCACTGGAACTTGATCCAGGTGACTCCTCCTCAGCCCCCGGCTCGGGCTCAGCAATGGTCTCAAAGTGCTCGGTGGTCACGGACTTCCGCTTCACACGGTTTTCAAAGCGGGTCAGGGCCTCTATGACCACGTCTCTGCGATCACGTGCCCTCAGCCAAGAGATTCGGCCTTCTCTAATCTCAGATGGCCCCACCACTCGGAACCGTCTGAGTGAACAATTCCAGGCAGCTTCTCCAGCTCGATGCATTTGGCCACTGTCTCACCGCAAAGGTGGTAAATCCCTTTTTCACGGTGGCCAGCACCTTCACCCTCGGTAGCCCAGTACCGGTAATATTCATCAGAGGCACCAAGGTACACCCCGTAAAGGGCCATGCCAGCTCTGGCAGGCTCTCCCTTCTTCAGGACGCCCACCAAGGCTGTACCTTGGGCTTTGGCTTTGTCATCGTAGACAGCCAACTCAAGGATGTCAAAGCGAGCAAGCTTAAAAGCCTCATACTCGCCATCACCAGGTGAACGCCATGCGGTAGGCATTGCACCCAGTGACCCTCAACAGCCTTGAACCAAAGGCTAGGGCATACTAGATTTACAAATGCCCGTTTCAGGTGCGTAAACTTCTCTTCCACTTAAAAATAATAAATAAATATGTATGTATATAAATATGTTTAGTTATATTTACATAGATGCATTCTGCGACTTAGAATCTATGTGCGTACAATTTCCAACACTGCAATTTTTTTTCCACTTGGGTTGGTCGCCAAAAAAAGCCCCGCGCAAGCCCCAAAAATCTATTTTATAAAATGAAGGGAAAACGCTGTATTTTGATGACTTGTGGGGGGCTTTTTTGGTGAACCAAACCGAGTGGAAATTTGCCATCCAACACAAAGAAAAACAGATCTATTTACAGACAGACACAGCCAGGCACAGGCAGAAAGACATACGAAGAGATATAGACGGACAGACAAACATGACGGACGAAGTCAAACATAGAGGCACGACACAGAGACACACGCAGACACAAAGACAGAGAGACACAGATAGATGAATAGATTCACAGGATTTGCACACACAAGAACAGATCACGGCCAAGTTTGCAGAGTGCTCTCGTTTACATGTGCCATATACAAATTATATCGAAACATGCTGAAAGAAACGCACACATGTGTTTGCCCACACTGATGTTATACACGACCATACATGGGAACATGTTCAAGTGTGGAAATCTTCAGCATGATAGAGCAAACAGGTGGTATTGTCGTGTATGTTTGGAGGGTCGTAGTTTGACAGTAGTTTGGTCGTAGTTTGCTTTCGCCAAAAACTAACTATTTCCTAGGAAATAGGAAATAGACTATTTCCCAGGACATAGACTATTTAAAATCTATCTATTTACCAGGTTGTAGTTGATTTTTTAAAGAGAAAAACTGAAAAACTAACTATTCGACAACTTTATGTCCTAGATTTCTGTATATTTCGTCATTTTTTTGTATATTTCGTCATTTTTTTTGGCGACGAATCTAAATATTTGGTAACCCCTCAAATCTATAGATTCCTACAAAATAGTCTACTTCCTGTGAAATAGACTATAGTCAGAAACGAGGTTAATTCAATCTATTGGGTAGATAGATAGATAGACAGACAAACAAACAGATAGATAGATAGATAGATAGACAGATAGACAGATAGATTAGGCAGATTAGATTAGATTAGATAGATAGGTAGATAGATAGACAGATAGATAACAAGAAAATTGTGATTTAAGTCTGCAAGCGTCATTGCTCCTCGGTGGCAACAACTTCCACATGACTGTGGCAGAGCAACAACTTCCACATGACTGTGGCAGAGTTCGAAGGGAGACCAAGAATAATAAAACATTCCCCTCAGCCACCGGGCAAAATCAGAAACAAACAAAGACCGAAAAACCGATTAGTCGGCCAATACATACAAAGAACCCTCCTGCTCCATCTCACGAATGGCTTCCAAATCTCTCGCCACTACTGTGGGATCAGCGTGCACCAAGACACACATGCCGATGAGGCTGGGCATGTCAGTCGACTTTTTCACCCAACGGCCAGCAGACATTTGTTCTTCCAGGAAGACCACAGACTGGAGCTCCCGAACCTGATCCGCGGGTAGAGCTTTGCTGTCAGTAAATAAAGACCTGGTCTCCTATTCAACTTAATTACAGTCTAAAGCTAAATGATTTTGAAAAAATCAAAGGTAGGTTCAGGAACCTTGTCGAAACATGTGGATTCCGCATGCCCTTCATGGTAGGAGAGCAGCATGGCCAAAATTCCGAACGCCATAAAATCAGGGGGTGCATGAGGAAGTCGATCAAATGCCTCTGCGTTCATGAAGGCGTCTACGCAAGCCTCCACCTGCACCATCAAATAGGCACGTTGGTGATTAGACCATGGCTACCCAAATCAGCAGCTTAGACAGCTTTCAAAGTCTCAACGTGCTTGGAAAAACGCGCCTGTGTGTAACCTGTGAGAGCCAGCGCCAATGGCATCCATGACCCGTTGGCTCCATGACAACGGCTGTTGACTTCCACCAGGCATGGGCCCGTCTCGGTCATCATCACCTGGCTGCAAAAATGCTACAGGTCCCTTGTGCTTACTGAGTTACTTGAGGTCTGATCATACACACGAAAAAACATGTAGCGTGATCTACAATATGCGCATCTTTGCACAATCACAGGGTGAAACCAGTTGTGTATTGGATGCCCGGGATGATGTTCACATTAAGATAACATAAGCACAACAGGCACTGTAAGGAACAAGAATGGGAGCCTTAAAAAACCTTCAAGGTGTTTTTGGAAGGTTTCACTGTTTCACGCGCAAGGTTTAAAATTGTTTCAACTGATCTAAAATCAATCTGCGTTCCACTGGTTCTGGCATCTTCTGACTGAGGACTGGGCACCTCAGTATGTGTGGCACCATCGGTGATCCGCAAGGCTTCCAAACAGCCATGGACATAGGCGATGAGCTCTTGCGCCAGAGGACTGCCGGAAGGAACGCACCGAATGCCAAAGAGAACAAAGTCAGAACCATTGGCGGGTCCATGATCTGTGACCTCAAAACATGGAGCGCTGGATTTCGGGGTTGTTCGCTTTTAGGGGATGGGCAGGGCACCAAACCTTAATCAGCTACGTCGTGCGGAGTGGCATTACAAATCTATGACAGCGGGAAAAAACATCATGCGTTCTCAAAACGAACTTGAGTTCCATCCATCTCTAGGGGCAAGAAGGAAACTAGAAAAATGGTTGTCGCAAATGTAATAACAGGGCATACGGGAAAAGGTAAATGATTTTTAAGGTTTGACACAGATTTTGGAAGTGTCATGCTGACGCACAAGCAACCAATTTGCGTTCCAGCCCAACATGTCGATCGTCTGGCGTTGTTTGTCATGCCTTTTCGGCCGCGGCAGCAGCGACTTTCAAATGGTGGAAGCTGCGCGCGAGCCACAAGGAGATGCGGGCAGTGGCTCATTCGCGTCAGACGCTCTACATTTTGCAGACCCTGATTGGGTTAGAGGACTCTTTAATCTCGTGGCTGCCACAAGACTCGATGGGAGTGCAACCTTCGCCGCTGTCATCAGAGGATCAATTGGCAATTGGCAGGGGTCATCAAAGACGCCGAGGAGATCGCACCTTGCGAGGCAGAGTGAGCCCATCGAAGGAGAAGAACTCATGTCCTCATCCGGCAGCTCGACTTGCTACTGGAGCGAACCAGCATGCGGCATGTATCATGTGCTGGAAATGCCATGCCCGTTGGAAGCTGGACAAAAGTCTCATGCCTGCAAAAGTCAAGACGGAGAAAGCCAAAGCAAAGGCAAAGGCATTGGCAAAGACGGCTGCAGCTCCCTCAACTCCGGCAAGTTCGCCGGATCAGTCACCGAGGAGTTGAAAACTCGTGCCATGGCTCATCAAAAGAAGGAACAAATCTATCAGGAACATGTGGCCCCATTGCAGCAGCTGACGATGGTCAGCCAGACAGAGGTGCGCACCCTGCCATCGGAGTTGGAGATGGCTGCCAAGAAGCGCAAGATTCAAGAGATCATGACGTCAGGGTTTGGAGCGATGGCCATGGGAGCACACTATGCCGAGAATGAGGCGTTTCACAATGCGGAGAAGCGTTTGGCGGGTCTGGAGATGGAGTCACTGGCAGGCTGCAAGAGGAGCTGGCAAAGGATCACGACATGAAGGGCGAGCCAAAAGCCAGTGGGGCATGCTTGGCAAGCGTCTGAGGATCCGAATGCTTCCCGCTCATTGTCCCGCTGCAGGAGGCAGGAGGTGATGCGATGGGCAAGGTGAAGTCCTTTTGTCAGACAGCGCACTGTGAGGTTGAGAAGATCTATGTTGAAGATGGCGGTGCGCTCTTTGAGGTGGATAAGGTGGAGGATCTACAGTATGAGGCCGAATGCGTGTTGCATTTCAAACAGGCATCCAGGCTGGTCATGGAAGATGCTTGCGCTGAGATTGAGGAGACGGCTTTGTCAAAGAAGCTCAAGGCAAGTTTGAGGAAAGCGTGCAGTTCCTTGGAGAATGAGTCTTTGGCGGTTGGAGTCAATGAGATTTACAGTCCTCCCAGAATTACGAAGGAACCCAAAAGACAGAATGTGGCAAGAGCTGCCCGAGGATGATCCTGAGCTGGTGGTAGATAGTCCTCCATGCACACCTTTCTCTCCCTTAATTGCAAGAGTGGGATTTTCCTCTGATGCTTTTCGAGGATGCGGTTGTCATGGTGGGCGAGGGCTTGGAGCACATCGTCACTCCTTGTCAGGTGGCGAAATGGCAACATTCTAGAAAGAAGGTGTTCCTTTTTGAGCACCCTCACCGGTCCAAAGTTTGGGATGAAGATTGCCTTGGGGAGCTCATGCATTTGCCAAGCGTTTTTTGTTGTGTGGTGGATATGTGTGCATTTGGAATGAGAGTTGGAAAGCTTCCAAACCGCAAACGCACCATCAAGAACTTATACCACATTGCTTATGAGCTTCAACGTCAATGCCCTGGGATCATGAGCATGAGCGAAAGGCTGCTGCTGTAGCAATTTATCCGCCAGAGCTCTGTCGAGCCATTGTCAGAGGGCTCAAGCGACATCTGCGTTGCAAAAAAAGAAGTGCCTGGAGGAAGTCCCTGAGGATATGCCCGCCACTCTCCCCCCCGAAGCAAAGAAGTTGACCTAGATGACTTTGAAGATCTTTTGCCAGAAGAAGTTCAGCAGTTTAGAGAGGAGATGCAAGAGAAGAAGAGAGCTGCAGTTGCTTTGACAGCAGAAGATACACAGAAAGTCTGTAAAATGCACTAGGACACCCGTCACGCGACAGTTTTGTGAGGCTTTTGAGAGCAGGGCGTATTAGAGAGGAGGTTGCCGATGGGTGCTCAAAGAGTTCAAGTGCGAGAAATGTGAAGGACAAGTACTCCCCAAAAGCACCCAGGCCAGCAGTTGTGCCAAAGTGCTGCAAGCTAGGAGTTGCAGTTGGCACCCATCTCTTCTACATCCCTGACTTGGCCAACAAGAAGTCTCTCCCTATCCTCAACATGGTTGACCTTGGCACCAACTATCAGATCTGGTGGGCAGCAAAGAACCCAGAATGCTTTGGTATGCGTTTTGGCACACGTGCTGTCGCACCTTTGGGATGCCTCAGTTTCTCTCTGTATATATAGATGAGGGCCTGGAGTTCAGCGGGGGCTTCACGCGTTGGTGTGCAGATTTTGGGACTATTTTGTTCCGTGCAGCTGGAAGGTCGCCATGGCAAGCAAGCAAGAGCGGAGGCCTCATCAAAGACATGATCTTACAAGCTCGAGAGACGGCGTCTCTTGAGTCTGTAGAGGAGTTCAAGCTTTTGCTGAACAAATGTGAAGGAGCCAAGAATCGTTTTATGAACCGGTCTGGGTACAGTCCGGCGCAAAGGCAAACGGGCCGGTGGCCGCGGATCTCTGATGAGTGATGAGGCTTTAGATCCAGCTCTTCAGGCGCAGGACCACTGACGGGTTTGACAAGCTCCTATGGAGCAACACAGCATGTGCGAGGCGCTGGTCTTGGCAGAAAGGCCGCTTGGGTTGGTCCTGGACATGTGCTGGCGATGGAAGGCTCCGTAGTGTGGATCAAAATGTTTGGAGAACTCCGGAGGGCTTCTGTGGAACAAACACAAGAAGCCACCACCAATGGGTGCATGGACGTGGGGATGGTTTGGGAGCATAGTGATGTTACAGCAGAGCGGGCTATCGTGATGTTGCAGCAGACAGACCTTATGATGAAGAAGACTCAGAAGATGAGGTAGAGAGAGAGAGAGAGAGAGAGAAGGGAAAGAGAGGGAGACGAAAGGATTTCCAAGACGAAGAAGAGGAGATTTGTTCTCCCACAACTCCCTTACAAGATGACACTGCTGGACCCATTGATCCAGAACCAGCTCCAGATGTGCAGCGCGTTTCTGGGTCCTCACAGGAAGAAGTGCTGACACATCCACAGAACACTTCTCAGCAAGAGAGGCGAGCTTCAGTGATGACAGTGCCGGAGCCAGATGGAGAGATTGAGGTAGCATCTAGACCAGCTGATGAATTGGTCTTTCCAAATCTTCATGATGAACAGCAAGAGCTCAACCAGCATCCCGTCGCGCGAACCAGTATGACAGACTCAGTGGCGCAGAACAACATCCTGGATGCCTGCAAAGGTCATTTCGCCTGTCTGCCGAATTTGACGTCGTGCCGTAGCACAGCGGATACGACCGGCGGGAGCAGCACATAGTGTCCTCAGGAGGTCCCCGCCTGTTTTTGTTTTTGTACTGAGCCTATGGGCATATAGCATGAGTACTGAGCACCCTTTACATACGCTGTCAAGGCTCAAGAAGAGTAATATCCTAAGAGGTAGTAGAGACAGAGCTTAGCTCGGGCTAGTGCTAGCACTGACTGGCTTCTAGCCGTGTGTGGAAAACAAGTGCTGTGCGACTGGAAGACGCTCTAGCTGATCCTTTTAGGACGCTCTAGCCCCTCTTCAAGTGGTAGCGGAGCTGTGATCCTTCATTGAAGGTGAGCTCCAGGATGACCAGCCATGGCGACAACGATTATGATGACATTGACATTGCCGATGATGGATGGAATGCTCATGAAGTATACGCAATGAGAAGGAGCACACCCCAGTCCCAAACGATCCACATGACTCAGCAGATGACAACAAAAGTAGCACCAGCCTACGACGGCAGAACATCATTCTTCGCATTCGAAGACGCAATTGATGATTGGTGTGACATCACAGAATTAGAAGCCGAGAGACGTGGACCCGCACTCCTAAACGACTGGAAGGTGATGCCGCTCAATACAAAAGGTTACTGGATAGAGAACTCCTGAAAGACCCGGTTGAAGGTGTGAACTATTTCAATAGATTTCTGCGACCCCATTTCACCAAAGGAGCTCAAACTGCTTTCTTGTACAGGTTCATGCAGTTCATGAAACACAACAGAGGTACAATGGATTTACAGAGATGGATGACGAGATTTCAGCTTACTGCAAACAGACTTTTTGAGTCTTGGATGGATTTGGTTTCAGATTTGGACCTTAACAGTCCTGATGTGATTGCAGCAATT